TCGATTCGCGGTTTTCTTCAGACTATTCAGGCGATCTGCAATTTGTTGTTTGACTTCCTCGTAATTGTCGATATCGTCCATTGATTTCTTTTCTTCAACCGTGATACTGAATTTCAATGCAGAATCCAAGTCCTCGAGAAGTTCATCAATAGCAGTTGTATCGACAGCAAAATTGACGGGTATATCGGCTCGGAAAACTCCTGCTTCAATGCTCTCCACATGTCCACCAACATAGGTTTCCGACTCCAGCAAATGACCTTCCCAAAACGATTCTTTTGGTGTTACATGCTTATTTGGAAGTACAATCTCTTTTTGGTAAGCCTCTACCATGAGTAACATCTCGCAAAGGGTACCTGTCCCTTTTCGCAAAACCGCATCTGGTCCTAGAGGAATAATAGTACATAGAGAGAAAATGAAAGGATGTACATATTTCATGTATAAATAGTATGTTGCTACAGCATCGGAGACGGAATACTCTGCAAGAGTTTGAGGTTTCTCGCTAGCATATCTCAACATCAATTCTGGGTCGATCTCGTCTGGATCATAACCTAGCTTGGCTGTTGTCACAGCTTTCAAACCTCTACTTCCTTGAGGCAAGTAACTATCACGATTAACCCAGTGGAAACAGTCCATGTGAGCACTGTAATCACAAATATACTGATCCTCGCTTTGACTCCTGCGCCATCCAATCTCCCGGTACATATCAATACCATTAACACTAGCTCGTGCATCAACAAACGGCCAATCGAAAAAGTCTCCGTTGTATGTCGCTATAACTGTAGGTCGTGCTTCTTTGATATGTAGGAAGAAACGCTCGATAACAGCCTTCTCGTCAGGTTCATTAAAAACCATAAAAGGTCCATCGTATTCAGGCTTCGGCGTGTATTCGAAATCCTCAATATCTTCCGAAACAATCTCTCGGTTCGTAATCAAGAATCCTTGCCCGTCTATCATGTACGATATCATCATAATTTGATCTATTGTAGCATCCGGGAATTTCAAGGGTAGTTTGGTCGTTTCGATATCGTATGCCATAACTACTGGATCGGCTCTGGCCAAACGATCTTCCAGGCATTTCAACGTCGTTGTACCGTGCTTGGCCTCCACTGAGTACCATTTTCCCGTTCGTATATCTACAATTTGTCAGTTTATTCGTCCGCACTTCGATTGCAGGTTTCCTCCATTACCTTGATCTATCATTACTCGTACATGGTATGGTACATCCCATTCCCTAATATCTACAATAAAATCGCTACCCTCCGCAATAGAAACATTAAGTCGTTTATCATCATCTCGTGAGTCGTCAAAAAGATCGAATCCAGCATTAGCACTGATCACCAGTTAGCCTTCTGCCAAAAAGTCTTCAAACCCCAGAAAACTCACCTAGCAACCTCCGCATAGGTATCCATTGCATTCATGTTCTTTTTGTTCTTCTCTGCAATCGGCATAATGTCTTTTCGAGCCGCCAGCAGATCCGACACATTCCTAAACCTACACTCAAAGAAACTCCTCCTGTAACCCAGCAGATGATTTGGCATTGACAAATCCTCTTTTTCCACTCTTTTTATACTCTTCAGAACACCTCCTCCTGGCGCTCTCTTGAGCCATTCCTCTGCTTCTGGTTCGTATCCTCTTTTGACCGCGACCAAAAAATAGGGTTCATATTCCACTGTCGCTTTGAAAGTTCCTCCATCATCCTCGATAAAGTAACAATCCACTCCGGCTCGACCTTCTAAATGTTTGTCGTCCTCGATCGTCGTAGCCTTTATGTTAACCAACCATCCAATCTTCTTCTTGCCAGACTCATGCCGCGGAAAACCCATGGCTTCATCTATTGAATGGCCTAATTTGACGGCTTCCACCTTTTCCTCCAATGATGTACCTTCATTTCTCCCAGACGATTTTTCAAAAGTTTTCGCTTTTCGAGGTCCATGGTATGCTTGCTTCCCTCCACGACGGAAGCCATGTTGTGGTTTTCGTGGTGGCATTGTGAGCGAATGTGTGGTGCCAAAATGGCGGGGCGAAAGGGGTGAAGTAGATTACTCCTAGAAGGAATTGAACAATTCTATTGAAAGAATTATGGTGTTCGAGACAGAGTCTTTTGCTGAATCAAAATACCATGAGTATTAAACGTAACTTGGTATATGCGGTATAGAATTCGGGTGTTTACAAATCGTGAAATTATGATTGAAGATAGTAACTTTTGGCTGCGGAACACAAATTGGGGAACGCGTCGAGTCGCGAAAAATATCTATAGCGCGTGAGAATCGTGTAAAGTGTAATTCAGCCTTATCGACAGGGCTAAGTGAGGAGAGCACTGCAGCCTTCTACGGTGGCCCACATATTTACGTTCCGTCGGTATCAATTCACAAAGCTCCCCTCAATTGTACAACAAAAAAGCAATTCAAGGACAACTTTGTACAGCAATGGCAGACGATACTAGGAATTCCAATTCTACTCTCCGAGGTCAACCTCCTGGAGCAACTTCACCTCCCAATCACGTCAAAACTCCCAATAAAGTATATGAAGTATTTCATACGCCACCTGAAAATGCAAATGCCTTACCAGACGGCTCTGGGCAGAATACTGCAGGTACACATAAAGAGACACCTACTCTAGGGGCAGCAGTCAAGACTGTACGATGGCAAGATTTCTCGCAAGTTCATATGTATCCATGTGCCAGGGAAAGTTTTCTTACTGGAATTGGTGGGGGCTTCGCCATGGGTGGAATCAGGGCTATATTTGGAGGTATGTTATTGCAATCGTGTATCTTAGGCTTGAACGGTCGAATGCTGACGCCTTACCCAAGCGCCGATACCTAAAGCCGCGAATTGGGCAGTTGGGACATTTGTGTTCTCTGCTTTTGGAGCCTATGAATTCTGTTTGTACAGACGGCGATTAGAACGAGCACATATGAAGCGTGCTGTAGAAATCATTGATAGGAAGAAAGCGGAAAAGGAGGCACAGGCAGAAGAAAGGAGGAAAGAAAGAAGGAGGCTGAAGGAAGAAGCGGACAAAAAGGCTGAAGAAGCAGCCAAAAAACCAAATTGGAAGTTTTGGTAATAAAGTAAAATCCCGAAAACAATGTATTAGCAGTCCCATACTGCGCTATAATGACCATCTATCCCGCTTGCATAATTTCGTATACTCAAAACTTGAGATCCTGTCCTTTTCACAAATAACCCCGAACGCCTGTCAGTGCTTATACCGATAATAATCCCTAAGCCATGTCTCGAGACTATGCTCATAACCAAACGCTGTGACCATATTTGCCATCAAACGCCTGAAATAATCCAGTACTAAAAGCTCAAGACGTTGAAATGATTCCCTGGTTATCAGAATCAATAAACCTTACTCTTCTGGCTACCTTCTCAGCTGCCTTTCTGGCGGATTCCTCTGTTCCTCGTCTTCTCTCACTTCTTCGAGCTCGAGCTTCCCTTGCTTCACGGCTCCTGTAATCTGCCATCTGCTGCTTCCTTCTTTCCGTTCTAGCATAAGCAAGAGCGGGCGTTGGTCGAAATCCAATTCCATTGATTCCCTCTCCATCATCATCTGGGTCGTCTGGTTTGTGTCCAGTAATTTCATTATTATGCCATGTCAAAGCAGCTCGGTCCGGATCCACAACTTCCCTTTCTTCCTCCATGGCATCTTCAGATTTAGACAATGGCGGTGTACCTACCCTTTTCTTCCCCCGAGACGTAGAATCGTCCAATTGATTGATTGATGGATATGCCCTTGCCAAACCATCCTTTTCCTTTGCATCACTTGATCCGGCTCGAAATATTATGTGATCAACCTCATTATGAAGCCGAATATCATTTCCTTTCTCCCGAATTATTGGATCGACTTTCCTTTCCCCTCCAATGACAGCCCTGAAGGTTTTTGGTTGTGGTGTCTCAGGAATTTCAGTTACTGTACTCCCGGTCATATCCACATCTCTAGAAGCAAACATCTTAACTCTTTTGCGCATATCAGATTCAGCATTTGTTGCTTCTTGTCCCTTGTTCTTGAGATTCAGTTTCTTTATATCAGTGGGTCCATCAAGGGCAAGACCCTGGAAGTGGTATGCGACTTTTGTACGTGGACTCCCTTGGCCAGCTTCTTCTGGAGATAATGTAGGTAAAGTAATCGAAGTTTGGAGACACATAGGTGAGGAATCCGGCGGAGTTGGTGCCTGGGGATCATTTCGTTTTCGTTTTGGAGAATCCATGAAAGGAGATATCATCATTGCATTATTTGAGATAGTTGTGTGTTGATTTTTTGAAGCTAGAAACATTGGACGGTGATTGTTATTCAAAAGCAGTTGATGTTTGGTTAATTATAAAGAAATTATAAAGAAGGGGAATGGAATTGAAAGTGGTTGAAGACCTAGCTAGGTAGGTGTGTCAGTGGAGTGTGAATCAAAGCAATTTCACTATTAGTGCGGGGGTCAGTCAGCCACAGTGAGATGGCGCTAATATGATCCTCGAATCCTTTTACATCTTTTTTGTTCACTCGAAACCCCGGTCGAGTACCATAAAGAAATTGATACTCACATCGGGTTCATGAAACAATATCCGCTAGCATTTTGTTTTCAGCGAATCTACAATAGTTTGTTATATTGGGCTTGAATGCGGGAGGGTCTTTGAAAGCTCAAAGGTCCATTTCCAAGGAACCATCAACAAGATATTAGAATGAATTGTTAGGGGTTGTGAGACAGACAGGACTCAAGAGCTACATTTTACAGTTATAACCAGGCCTTGATGGATGCCGTTTAATCATCCAGTCGTACAAGGTAAACAGGGATGAAGTGAATACTATGATTCACCATGGTTCCAACATGTTGCTATCGCTTTTTTTCTAATTCTTCCAAACTCCTTCCTGTCCTCTTTTCTCGACCTAGACCAAAAGTTTCCTCAAATCTTTTTATACTTCCTCATTCTCTCTATATAGCCTCTCGTTGCAAAGAATTAGTTCTTCTATAGCCTTGGCCTACTCGTTCTCTCTCTTGAGTCCGAAAGTTAAGTTATATTGCCTTCATTCTCGATGTTCCCAGCTCCCGCGCCTTCACGCATTTCGTTGCCTGTGCTCGCGATGTATCTTCCTTCCTCATTCCACCAAGTTCTCCAATTGTCGTTCTCATTCTTTAGGCGTGCGATCTCATTGCGATCCTCAAATAGCATTTGCCAGTAAATCAGATCGTTCCCATGAGAGAAGAGAATGCGACGATGAAGCAATTCTGGTAAAACTGCACTTTGGTGGCTATACTTTCTGGTTTCTGAGATTTTGTCAATGTTGGGCTTGATCTAGGAAGCTTGAATCTTCTTTTGAAAATGTTAGACTGCATCGTGGTAGTGTGTATCGTCTGCGCTGATTTTTCGTTGGCTTTTTGTCGTGCAATGTGAATTGAGCTGCAAATGATTCAAATTTTCGTTTTTGATGGGAAGAATAAAACTATGACGACTACTTTCCGCATATCCAAGTGAAAATTGCTTTATTGAAAGTATATTCTTACTCTAGCTTGGAAGGAGATTGATCTCTTCGAGTATACACGATCGTACGACGTGGACTTATGGAACCCACGGTCGCACCTTTCATCTTGATCTCTAATATCATGGTTAAAGAACAACTTGCTATCCTTCCACGAGAGACGAAACCAGTCGCCGTCCCGTCCTAATAGGAATAGACACATCTGACACTCACTGAAAATACTTTCGATCAGAATCTACGATATGATTTAAAATGCTTTTTCAAAGATATGTTGATGAATTGCATTGTTATGGTTGTTTATTGAATTTTTGGAGCATCAGTGTGTACGTGTTGTTCTTGTGTGAAAAGATCTGCTTTTCCTTACACCCCGCTTCTCATGCCCCTTAGCAGATCTGTCTTACATAAACGGGGGATATAGAATTTGAGATAATCTCCATGTGAAATAAAAGAGAAAATGAGGCTGTAATCGATGGACACATTTCCTGATTGCTCTTGAGCCTAAGATCGCGTAACTCACCCCACAGGAAGTCAAGATTTGTTAGAGCCTTTCAGAGACAGTCGTTGCTGTCATTTAGTCATTCCACACTGTCATAAATTTTGATTGAGGAGCAGATTATTGCCACTCCTCAAATTGACCGGAGAGGTCTTAATAGAACATGGTGTGTGGAAGACGCTTGGGGTAGCTATAGTTACATCTGCCCGGCTTCTTCTGTTCAAAGGGAGCTACAGAGCCATGGGCAAGTGTCCCTGACGTCTTTTTTCTTTGCTTAGGGTTTCAATACTTGGGATCACATCTTCCTATTTATACTACATTTTCAATCATAAGCGGAAAGGAATCACTTGAAGGGCCGGGGATGGCTGATTGCGGTGAATAGAGTGATTATTCTGACTGTCTCTGGTACTCACAAGGTTAAAACCCCGCCTCAGGTTCGAAAAATGGTATTTGCGAGTGCTATAAAAGTACAGAATAGATAGCTCAATTTGCGGTCATGGGACTGCAGCGGCTATACTGTCCAGGCAGCAATGTGCTCTGTTTTGGCAGTGGGAAATTTTTCCTCGCAGCTTGATCCAAGTCTCAATCTTACCTCTGGTTTGCGCCTATTTCGCCACTGAGAGTTGATCTGATCAGACACGAAAGTTTCATTCTTAAAAGCATTAGCGTTTGGTAATTTCACTGTCATTTGTTAAATTTTCTCTCGTCAAGCTCAATCTTCATCACTCTTTCGTCGACAACAGTTGAGAAACTATAAGCTGTGAATGCGAGGCCCTGCTATCGCAAATACTAAAAGCAATAAATCTGTACTTGACATGTCTCTTCCCAAAGATTCGGCACGATAATGTAAAGCGGTTGTGTTTATTTATACTAAAGTCCAGGGCTCAGTGATTAGATCTTAATTTGAGGAAGTGAATATTTCTATCTTGAATTATACTCGTCGACTGCCGCACATATAGCCCGGGGAAAATAGGCCTCATAAGCCTCTGAAAAGTGAAGGCCCAGTGCTAAATCCCTGGTTCTAAGTATAAAAGGTCTCGAAGTGCCAGAATTGTTGCACCAATCTCAAAGCTCAATGCGCAGACAACGATGCAAATGGTTTGTGCTGATATAAAGTTCATTACACACATACTTACGAACAGCGTATTTTGCATGTAAACAGTTGCAAGACTTCGAAGTTGAGGCGTGGACGTTAGGAACTCGTGGCCTAGATTTTGCATCTTTGACAGCGAATTGTCACTGCTACTACTTTCTATCTTCGTCTGAAATCTCTGCTGCCATTTCTTTCGAAGGTGAACCCAAGAATATGAATGTTTTTCAGCTCAGTCAAGCTATACACCGAGAGATATTGTCATTTTTGTGCCTCGAAAGGAATATATGGCTGGAAACATACTTATATTAAGATATCCTTTGGTTTTGGAACTTCTGCGTTTCGTTCTTCTGTGTCAAAAAGATTGATTTCTGGAAATTTTCGTATTTATGTTTCATATTACCCCCAATTCGTGAATTTTCGCCCGCTGTTTGAGTCACACGAGAATCTCCGTGAGTGAATGACCACCAACTTCTTTTGGGCTTCAAGTGCGATCATAAAAGCATGGTCGCAATTCTAAACTCCCTCTATTGCTGTTGGTTATGAAATCCGGATCTCTATTGTATGAAATTCTTCCTAGTCGAGTGGAAAGATTCTCATCTGTCTCGTTAAAATTGAGCTATAGAGGTCTGCATTTAGATGAATCGGTCGTCACAAAGCCAAATGTGAAGATCCATGCATTCAATTATCATTGACTCTGCCACCACTGCCTTCTATCGGGTGATGAAAGCTTCATAATTGATCTTGCAGCGATAAAAAAGAAGAAAGTTCGGTGTTCCGCCCCAAGTATTGGTGTTGATGTTCGTGTTCTTGTCTGATATGATTGAATATTTAGTCACAGCGGTACCTTTTCTACCCATTGAAAATATTAAATGAAAACTTACAGAGCTGTATAGAACTATTTAGCCCTCAGTTGGTGTTTTCTGTTTCTGATCATGATCATGATAATCAATATTAAAATTTATATACTGTTCGAAAGTGGCAGTAAGTATCCAATTACCTTAGACCATGAGCCAGTTTCCAGATCCAAGTAACAGTTCATGGCTTAGCTTGAACCTTATGCTTCTGGATTTAATGACATTATGACACTAAACCCCAAATCAAACTACTGACACTGAATCAGAAGCTCTAACCGAGATCTCAAACACTGTTCTTGCGATTGTAATACTATTGGTTCAATCAAAATGATTACGTCAAATTCAAGATTCACCAGATGTGCAACAAAACCAGACTGATTATCTAAATTGGACCATCCATCTTACCGAACGAGCGTTGCCGAGACTAGCGAGCTACCTTTCCTCAGTAATATCCTTAAGAGGCGTTAGTGAGTAGCGTTAATCTACAAGATCGGATGATCAATCCTATCAGATTGAATTAGAAATGATTGCTCTTTGCGATCGGAGTCTGATTGGCTCTCTCAACATGATTACGTCAATTTCGAGATCGAGCAGATATGCAACAAATCCAAGTTGGGAGATCTGGGCTCGAAGTTATTCACTCACGTCTATGCTAATATAAATAGTGTCCCTGGCACACTAGTGGTGCTCCAGTACGATACGTCGTTAATTTTAGCTTCCCCGTCAGCACCGGATGGCCGCCTTTCGGAAGAAATGATATTCAAATTTCCTTTGCGATCGCAGTGTTATTGATCTTTTAGCTTAAGCACGTCAATTTCGAGATTGAGTAGATGTGCAACAAATTATCACTTGAGATCGAGATTTTTGACAGTTAACAACGCTACTACTAGTTCCATAACTCTCTCTAATTCTGGGATCTATGATTGAGAGACGGCTTTAAGCTAGATATAAAATTTGAGCTCGCACAAATCACGTGAACCTGAAGCATTGTCCTTCTAGCCAGCCACTGAACAGGTTGATCCGGTTGAATAGAAAAGCGCATCTAGTACGGACATACGCCAAGTGTTGTTTGTGACATCTTTGCATGCAAGAAAATTGGTTTCCAGTTTTCGAAAATTTTCACGAACTTGATGAAGTTTGGTCGTTACTGATTATCACTAAAGGTTAGGCTGCGCAACGGGTACCCACGGAGCGGATAATAGTCTTGACAGATAATCCGCGGATAATTTATCTACGGAGCAGATAATTCAAAAATCTGAATGAATAACCCACAGAGCAAGTACAAATTACTCATAAATATCTATTTACCTATATATTATATAATTATTTATAATTTTTTATAATATTAATATAATTTTATAATTAGTATAAAAATTAATATAAAATTATTTTTGAGCTGGAAAATAATTTAAGAATAGCTTTATATTTTAAACAAAAAAAGCAGATATATTTATATAATCTACAAATTATCTATAGATAACCCATATATTTACAAATAATCCACCTATTTATAAATAGATGGATTATCTATAGATAATTTACAGATTATCTATACAAAATAAATAATTTTAAAGTTTCAACAAATAATCCATAGAGTAAATAAAACCTTTAACAAATAACTTGTAAAGCAGATTATCCGCAAATAATCCATAGGTACAGATAATTTGTGCGCAGCTTACTGAAGGTTACCATTGTTTTTAGACTGTCATTTTATTACATACGCCACAATTTGACATTTCTTCCCCAGAAACCGTAGTTTCTCGTTAAGTATAGTTCAATGTTTCTTGTGTCAATCAAAGACGATGGGAAGCAGAGTTCAACTTGTTCTCATATTCTTTCACGATTTAAACTTATATTGTGGTTCTCCAAGAGAGATAGATGCCCTTATATGTTGTAGAAGTATGGAGAATGGAACCGGGTTACTCAGGTGACTAAGTAACGAAATATTCACTACTCAATCATAAACAACCCGGTTTAATCAGTCATCACTTGGCTAAAGTTCTGTTCAAGATATCTATGCACGCCAGGGCCTTCAAGTGTTGTTTTCTAACAATCGTTGTATTATTCTATTCCAAGGAGGAAAGGAATTTCTGGAAATGTCATTTAGCGTTATTAGGTAAATCAGTCCATGCTATCATCAGCATTCTATTATTACGATCTTCAATAACGACAATAAAAATAAGTCGCTACCGATTTGAAATCAAGATAATCATCTAATTTCTCTGATTTAAAATCGTTTCTACTTCTACTCCTACATATTCAACACACCCAAAGTTCAAAAGGTGCTAATTCTGATGCACACCATCACTATTGCTGTCTACTATGCTCATCTTACCATCTTTATCTAATTTTCTTGTAGGATAGAGGATTAGAAATCTACAAAGACGGTCTCTTAAATAAATTACAACTGTAAGATGCACGTCCAAATTGGGGAGAAACAACTCACAGATTCGCGGTATCTAGTGAATGATGTACACATGGAAGGAAGCATCTTCGGTGCGGAATATTGAGGCGCAGTACAATTAGGTAGTGAGTGCTTAAGCGGACATTCACTAGCTGTATTAACGAGACAATTCCTTGCGATGAATCTTCATTTGATAGCTATATAATGAATGAGCCATTGTGTTTTATGCACATGAAGTGTATCAATCAATGACGACATTATCAAAAGCGTCCTGGGGGATTC